GTGGCCTGTTACAAACTAGTCAGAGGGGACCAGCGGGCATTGGGGGAGTCCCTGTTCCCCCGAGCACTGCTAGGAGTGACAAGAAATAACAGTCACAAGCTGGTAGAGGGTAGATTCAGATTAGAAATCAGGAGGCGCTACTTTCACGGTCAGGGCGGCTAGGATCTGGAACTTACTTCCAAGAGAAGTGGTGCTGGCTCCTACCCTGGGGGTCTTTAAGAGGAGGCTAGATGTACACCTTGCTGGGGTCGTTTGACCCCAGCACTCTTTCCTGCCATGGCGGGGGGTCGGAGTCGATGATCTGCTCAGGTCCCTTCCGACCCTAGAAACTATGAAACTTAGCAGCATTCTCTACTACATCATTTTCTACTTAGCTGCATTTTCTAATGCATCTATAGGATTTTTGAGCAAACTGGCATAGGCTCCAAAGTGGGATCAGCCTGAGAGGGGATGGAGCCAAACAGGGTGGAAGATGAGCTGATCAAGCCACAAATGTGTTAGTGTGTTCTCTGATCCACTTGGAGCAGTCCCCGAAGTAGATGTGGGAAGGAGGGCACTCAAAAGTTGGTAGAGCCAAGCTGTCTAGGATATATGCTGCTTGAACGGAATTGCTTCATATAACAGAATACTTTACAGAGAGCACAGCTCTATCTTCTCTTGCCCTTCCCTATAATGAAACCATCTCTAAAATACATCCACCTCTGAGAGAGACTGCATCCTTTACCACTCCTCTTCTACTCTCCAACATTAAGTGTTTTAAAAAAATAGAAATAAGTAATTTCTTAAAGATAAAAGAAAAGATTGAGGTGGAGGGAGTGTAATTTTCCAAGCTGGAATTTATTTAAGGAAGATGTGAATATTCATTTCAATAAATGCCCTAAGATCTCTGATAGCTGTTAGACACCAGGGTCTCATTTTTAATGTCTCATCTGAAAGAAACCTTTATATGTGTTGAAAGTATCTTCAATTTTCCTCTCTCTTCTAATAAAATTCAATAATGATTTAAAGAAGCAGTTTATCATTACAAAATGGTTTCAATATTTTTTTCCAAACGGTGTTTCTTATTCCATCCACCTGCAAACAGTTTTCATTATTTTTTTAAGACCTGTTCATTAAAAGTAGCTATTGCTTCTCTGCTCTGAGTAAATGCCATTTGGGAATATGATATGGCCAGGTCCTGAATAGTCTAAGCTATTACTTAGCCATCATCTCCCGTCTATGTATTGCTAACAAAACATCATGCATGTGTGCAAGATGACGCACAGAAATGTAAGGAGGCCTCGTCCAGGAGTGCTGCCGGCATCTGTTTCAGGCCAGGAGAGAAAATGAAAGGCACCGTGGATTCCAAATGGAACAGTCACAAGACAAATAATCAGCTGATTGTTAGTAGGAGACGATCATTTTCCAAAGAGCT